GCATCGGAACTGTTCGATTGACCCGTTGCACTTTGATCTCTTTCTTTTTGTTACGTTGATTAACGCTTGTTAATAAATTCATAAATGGTAATGAATTGCAACAGATCAGGTTATAGTTGCGACAAAAAGTATACGTAGACCTCCTAAAACGGGAAATGTTTAATTTATCTCCGTGAAGCGTGTCGACTGCGAGTTATACGAACTAGAGATACGGTAGGTCAGAGGTACTATTTTAGGATTAAAATGCCTCCGATTGCAAATGTTTAATTAACAAATATATCTGTTAGTTTGCGAGAAGTTCGTAGCTCGTGTCCATTTTTCGAAGGTGATGTATGCAAACACTGTCGCTTAGTGATTGCCACGAGCACTGAAATACATTGCTAATTCATTATGTTCGAGACAGATGTCATTATACATGAGTTTCTGCTTTAAATACGACTCGACTAACAGGTAGAATAATATTATAATAGTAATAATTGTAATAATAGTGATAATAGTAATAATAGTAGTAAAATAATAGTGATAATAGTAATAATAATAATAATCGTAATAGGAGCAATAGTAATAGTAATAAAAGTAATAATAATAATCGTAATAGGAACAACAGTAATAGTAATAATAGTAATAATAATAATCATATAGAAACAACAGTAATAGTAATAATAATAATCATATAGAAACAACAGTAATAGTAATAATAATAATCATATAGAAACAACAGTAATAGTAATAATAATAATCATATAGAAACAACAGTAATAGTAATAATAATANATAGGGACAACAGTAATAGTAATAATAGTAATAATAATAATCGTAATAGGGACAACAGTAATAGTAATAATAGTAATAATAATAATCGTAATAGGGACAACAGTAATAGTAATAATAGTAATAATAATAATAATAATAATAATTGTAATAGGAACAACAGTAATAATAATAATAATAATAATCGTAACAGGAGCAATAAAATAATAAAAGGGAAAGATTGTTAAAAATATGAATTTTGTTCGCCCGTAACCGTTATAAATCGTCCCTGCGGTCCGGAAATTTATTAACAAAGACCTGTTAATCAAGCCAGCCGTGAAAGAGATCACAGCGCAAGGGGTTTAAAGTCGCGGGAAGCTGTGAAAACAAAAACAAAAAGAAGATGAAAAGAGGGGATGTTCAGCATTTTCCACGCGCGGCGCATGGGATTTGCAACGTAACGTATCCGGTGCTGTTCGCTGCGGCACAGCGGTTGTTTACAAACACGTCTAAAAAAGTATCGCGCGTCACTGTCAGATCGGCCGGAGCGGGCTTCGCGTGATTAAATATTCACTGGCCAGCATCTATACGGAGTCGCGTTATCCAATTACACCGCGCGAACACATCGCTCGTTAAAGCTTGCCCGAACCGCGCGTGCATCGCTCGGCCACCGTGTCCGTCGTCGTCGACGACGACGACGACGGCGACGTTATTCAACCCCGGATTGAATTCTTCACTTCTTTTTTGGAGGGGGGAGGGGGATTTGTTCGGGCAGTTTTCGTTTCGCGTCAGCCCGGACCAAAGGTTTCCTGTTTAAAAACCATGGAGTCTCGAGTGAAGGAAAAGCGAGCATCCCGAGGCGGAAACTTGCGAAAATAACGAAAAAAAAACACAAGAAAAAAAAGGAAAAATGCCACTTGAAGATCTCGGATAGGAGGTTCACTTCAGCATCCTCCGAGCTCGCCGGACCTTGCCCCGACGGATTACCATCATTTCCGGTCTCTTAAAAAATCCTTTGAGCGCGGCTTCCTTCCACAATGACGCGGAACTGCGAGACTCCTGCGCAAATTGTTTCCCGGTAAATATTTTTCGGCCCTCAAACGTTTCGTCGCGAAAGTCAACGACGGGTTATTTTTCGCCCGAAGTTCAATTAGTTTTAGTACAGGAACGAGAAAACGTCGTTTTTAAATGCTGTCATTAATAGCAGTCGCTATTTTCGAAGACGATTTTTTAGCCATTCTCTAGCCGACTGGTCCTTGCATTGTCTGAACAAGATGTCTACCTCGTAACCTTGACGTAACCTCGACACGACCTTGACGATACAACTCCTCGTTGCAGAGCGACTCGTAAAAGAGTGAACAAGAGCGTCAAATTCCCAAAAATACCGAAATGGGGTTAACACTCGACACCGAGAAAAATAATCGACGCGCGCAGAAAAGATCATAGTGATTCTGACCGGCGTAAAAGACAATGTCCATCGTCGTCGGACCACGCGGCCTGACGCCCATGGCATGCCATTTGTTTAACGGCGGACGGGATCGGCTTACGGGCGCATTAATCCGCAGAATACCTCCGGTTAATTAAGTGATAGGTAATTAGTGTGATTCAGTGGCTCGCGTAAATCTGATCAAAAGAGGTAATATGGGCCACTAACGTCTAGGCGCGGGTAATAATTGTCCAGGTGATTACGTATTCCCATAACGGGGGTCGGAATGCGGCGGGCAACAACGATCCCTCCCGGTGTTTTCGCTCGGCTCTATAAAACATCTAGGAATCGGACGCGGAAACCGAGCCGGCTAAACAGCAAGCTCGTTAACTATTTAAGCGACGCGTGGTCGGGATACGCGGGATCGTTTATTCATAACTGTCGGTTCGTGTCCGCTATTAAACGTCAATTATTTACCGGCCGGATCAATTTTTGTCGGAACGATCGACGGAGACCGGTCCGTTCTTTTGTGCAACGACGCCGGGCGTAGCGACGCTCCGACGGCGACGGAACGAACGAACGCGGGGCCTCCTCTTTTCTCGAAGGGGCGAGGAAGGCAATCTCGTCGGTAATTGTCCGTGAGCGGCGCAAAGATTGCGGCCAATTTCGGATCGTCCGTGCATAAGGAACGCCGGCTCCCCTTTTTCCGACCACGGGAAACGCTTGACCGCGACCAACGACGACTGTCTACGCGAAGCGGAGAGGGTCGCTCGCATTTTCCCAGCTCGAATTGCGCTCCCCGAGAAGCTGACATCTTCGATCGACGATGAGTCGCCCCTCGACGAGCCTGGAAACCCCAGGAATTGGATAACGAGGGGGATAAATACAGCGAATTCTCCCTAATTGACGCTCAGCTGGGAAACGAAAATGGACAATTTGGGAAGAGGAGATACGATTACTCCAGCTTTGTGGCTCGTTTTTATAGTTGTTGACAATCGGTTACCATAGAAGAGAGCGTAAGGCTCGAATAATCGCGTCTCCTCTTCCCAAATTGTCCATTTTTGTGTGAAAGCTCAGCGTCAATTACAAAGAATTTACTGTAGATCCGAATTTAGGACAGATTCGAAATGATCGTACGATCATGTAAATGGCGAAACTTCGGTGATGATTAGACTGGATCTTTTAATGCGTGATGGAATCCGGGACGGTCGAAGAGGACAGGGCACTCTATTTTTTTTTTATTGTTTTAACGAGTCGAATGCACAAAGTTGATATTCCTTAATTATATTACCGCTTCCACAGTTGCGATAAAAAAATGGGAAATACGCTACTTCTAAATCTAGACTCGAAAATTTTCCTTCGTCGACCAGAAATTTACTCGTCGTTTAGAATAAAATAGAGATTCTGTTAAATCTGGTCGACTTCGACAAGCGTTTATGCAAATTAGCCTTAAAAAAAATCGCTTCGCTTGCATTTTAAAGGATCTGGACGCGTCGTAAACGCACGAAGATATGATAGCGACGCGATTTGGCAAGCGATTCGTTCGCTGACGTCGAAGGACTTGCTTCTACGGCTATTAGAAAAATTGTCTACCCGCTAGAAGAATGTCCGGTAGAAGAATTTAACGTTCAGCTATGTCGCAAAGAAGAAAAGCTCCCCTCTTGTGTCCCGAAACAATCGTTCTATCGAGACTGGTTTAGAGAGAGAGAGACTTCCGGTACGAATCTTCTTTCGTCGAACCGGCCAAAGGGTTTACACGGTGTCGCTTTTCGGGAGTGTGTATCTACGGGTCCTTTGTAGAAACGTATCTTCCACTGGAACAATGTCTGACGACCTTTGAGGGCTGCGTGGCGCGAAGAAGAAGGATCTCTCGGTGCAGCTCTTCTATCGATTTCCTCTTGTCTCTCGAAGCAGTTGGAACTCGTTTAGGGCGAGAGCGGGTTAATCCTCGTCCCACATACTTCATCGGAAAAGGATTAGAAAACGGTCATCTGTACGAAAATCGTCGGGCCGGATCTACATGCAAATTCTCGTTCTCGTTAATCATTCTCGAAATATCGAAAGAAAGGGGGCTGTTTCTTTCATCGACTAGAAAAGGTCCCCTACAGCGAACATGGAATAATGATACAATTAGTTTTCATTCGGTATGCACCTTTCTTGCGTGTGCTATAACTGCATAAAGATCCGCAGTCCGGTCATTAGCATTGCACTTGTCACCGGGCTGCGGATTTTATGCAGTTGTAATCGAAATTGTCGAGGACAATACGAAACGTATCATCGCCGAACTGGGAATCTTTTTGTGCGAAATTCATCGCCTCTTAAATAGAAATTAGATCAAAATGTGTTTCTTGTTTTAGCGCTAGATTTACGGGAATGAATGACGGGTCATTGATTTTTTAATTTACGATTATTCGTGTCGTGAAGATATGTTTGTGAGTTATTCATTCAATTTATTGCGACAAGTGTTGCAATAACGCTTGTTAAAAATCAGAATAAATATTACAATAACGCTTGCTAAAAATTAGAATAAATAGTACAATAACGCTTGCTAAAAATCAGAATAAATAGTACAATAACACTTGTTAAAAATCAGAATAAATGTCTCATCGTTACTTTTATGAACTAATATAAAACAGCTGTTTTTTCTGCTCCGTCAATCTAGTGTTAATGATGTTAATACAGCGAATGTTGTGCAGCAGTTCGAAATTCTTCCCTCATCTTCGTTCTTCTGCGTTTCGTTTGTCCATTTTTGCCATAACTACGTAAAATCCGCGGTCAAATTATGATTTTCGTCGTTCTAATTTGCCTTTCTTTTTCTTTTCAGCGAAAGTTCAACTGGGTTCAACATCTGGGTCATCAGCGACGGGATTCAATAAAGGGTCGTTCAAATTTCGTAGACGAGATTTGAGTCGAATAAATATTCCAAGATATTCCTGACGTGCTTGTTCGACGTGAGCGACGTGCAAGATCCGTTCTAAATTTAATCAGACACACAATTAACATTTAGACTGTTACAGAACAGTTTTATCTCCCGCGAGAATCCGACGTTTTCCTCGAGATCGTCGCGGCGAATTCGACTCCTTCAAAACAGAGGAGCCGTTCGGCTGCAACGACTCGGCCTCTGGATCTTTGACGATCGGGCGGAATCTTTGGACGGTTAATGAGCCGTCGAATCCTGTGAACTTGGTAGTGGTCGGAACACGTAAACGCCGAGGTGCTCCGAAACGGTGTAACACAGCCCGAAATTGACTAAATGTTTCGGTCGAATGGATCCGTTTCGGCGCGGCAGGTGAGCACGTACGTCGACTAAGAGAGATGGAGAGAGAGAGAGAGAGAGAGAGAGAGAGAGAGAGAGAGAAGTTTTGGCGCGGGTCCAGAGCTCGGGAAAAACCAGTCCGCGTACGAAACTCGACGGATGAAGTCGTCCGAGAGAAAGAAAGAGGAGAGACGCAGGCCGCGACAAGCCAGGAAAACGATAGAAACCGGCGGATGAGGCGGCAGGTAAAATAAATAAAATCGTCTTCTCCGGGCTCGTCCCGATAAAACAAACGCGGCCCGGAACCGGTTCGAATGCAGAGAGAATTTGATAAACGCCCGATATATCGCTCGAAATAACAACACTGTCGCGGAGATAACCAAACCTCGCGATTAGATGTTCCACAACCGAGCGGATCCCATCCTCCGCGCGTTTTTCCGGGTCTCGGCGAATTTTCCTCTTCCGTTCCGCGTTGCCCCTGTTCGCCGTATTTACTTTAAAGGATTACGTAATTAATTTAGCACGCTGAGTGCGGTTTAATGTGCCCTGGGCCGCGCGTCCGCCACGGGAAAAGGTTTCGAAACGGCGCAGAACTTCTGTTGTTCGCCCCTTTTCCGGTCTTTAATAATTTTCTTACGACGCGCGTAGAACGTTGCAGTTTCTAATGCTTCGAATTAGCGTTCTCGCTCTCGCTCTCGTTCTCGCCGGTTTCCCAGATTTCGCTGGGTTCTGCGCGAAGCAGACCGTGAGGATTTCTTTGTGAAAAAGTGCTGAAGGAAAAGTACTAAACAATTTTCTTGCGGCAGGCTCGGACTTCGAGGGAAGTTGTATCTCAAGCGTTAGGGGAATCTGCCATGCACAGACAGAGCAGTCGATCTTCGTACTGGATTTCTTCGAAAACGTGAAACGTTCTACGAAACAAATTTATTGCACACTTTCGCTTCAGTTTCTCACGCAGAACGTTTGCGAGTAGAGTAGAGTAGAGCAGAGCTGGTGTACGTTTTCTTATAAATTTCGATGATTTACCAAGAGAAATCGTCTCGCAAACTAAGGAGTCCAAGAGCCAATGCAATCAGAATGCTGCAGAGTTTACAACATAGTCGACTTCGGACTCGATTCTCTCGGAAACGGAGCCATGCCCGGCAAAATTTCATTTCACATTTTTGCTTCAGTTTTTCACGGTGAATAAGCTCGCGTACACTCGCGCCCCGAATTTCGATGATTCACTGAGAAAAATCGCCTCGAAAGCCCAGCGAGATGGAGGAGCACCGGCGATCTTCATCGGCGGAAAGTGATTCGAACGCTTCCGGATAAGTCAAAAGATAGCGATCAGACTGTTCTAGGATTCTAGCAGAAAGCCAGAAGAAGGTGAGAAATAGAGCGATAGTTCTACCTAAGCCATCCTAATCTAGTTGGGAGAGTCCGAAGATAATTGGAGGGCGTGGGAGCGGAGATCGAGCGAGCGGCGGGTCGGTTCTTGGATCCTCGTCGAGGGACCGGGCGGAGATCGAGAGGGATCGCGGAGATCCTTTGGAGCGTGTTCAGCCGACTTTGGCCGAAAGTTTCGGGGATCGTTTTCGGGGCTTTTCGGCCGTGGAGCCGAGTAGAAGGCGAGTAGACGGCGGCGGATAAGCTCGGAATAGAGGACGGACGCAGGCGCGTGGTCGCGCCTACGGGCCTCGGTTCTCGGATCCAGCTATCGATTCGGCTGTCTTACAGGCTCCTCTCCGAGGCCCGATGAATAAAAATGACATGCTAACGAGCGTGGTTCAGCCGGCTGAAACTAACTCCGGTAACGCGCGCTCGCGAGAGACGCGAGCTGGCTCCCCGCTTCGTTTCGTCGTCGCTTGGAGCCGATCCGCGCGCGGCTTCGTTCCGGAACGGACGGAGAGTAATCGGCATCCAGCCGGGAAACAATCGGTGGAGGAACGCCGAAACAGTCTCCTTCGAGTCACCGGTGCGATTAATATTCGAGCGGATCGTTCGAGCGGAAACGGTTGAATCCGTCTCCGCGGCGGAGACGCGCCGTGCGCTTCGTGGAAGGCGAAGCTCTTTTCTTCTCGGCGGCGGTGAGACGAAGGCGAACCGTCCCTCGGTATCGAGCGCGTTATCCGTGCGAAACCGACGCCAGAACTCGCCTGAAAACGCCCGCCGCCTCGACGAAGCTGATCGCGAACTTCGGTGTCCCTTCTTCGGCAAATTAACGCCGTGCGAGGAATAAATTGACGCCGGTGCGTCGAACTCCGAAGAATTCCATTGTTCCTCCTCGTCGCCGACGGATGTCTCCGCGGCAGTCATCCGACACCGCGCGTGCAACCATGCGGTGGGCGCCTTGCTCGGCCGGCGATGCTCTCCCTTCGGCCGGCGCTAATCGCGGGCAAAACTGATTCACGAGGCCGGATTTCGGGCGAATCGGTGCTTTATCAACGCTAAACCTACCGAGCCATAAGCGCGACTGACGCACATGCTTTCATGAGAACAATAAGATCGGATTTATGGAAACCTTGTACGATTTCTGTTGCAATATACGCACGCTTGCAGAAGAAAAGTACACGATGCAGTGAAATTAATACGTTCGTTCGCTGAACTGATCCGGTGTCGCTAATCACACAAAATACAGTGATTTCTCCCTAATTCGCGCGCCTGGATTGCGCATAAAAGTGGATCATTTGGGAACAGGAGATTCTTCGAGCCTCGTTTTTATAATTGTTGACAATCGGTATCTCCTAATCGTATCTCCTAATTGCATCTCCTGTTCCCAAATGATCCATTTTTATGCGCAATCCAGGCGCGCGAATTAGGGAGACATTACTCCTGTCTCTTATACACATCTAGATGTGTATAAGAGACAGGAGTAATGTCTCCCTAATTCGCGCGCCTGGATTGCGCATAAAAATGGATCATTTGGGAACAGGAGATTCTTCGAGCCTCGTTTTTATAATTGTTGACAATCGGTATCTCCTAATCGTATCTCCTAATTGCATCTCCTGTTCCCAAATGATCCATTTTTATGCGCAATCCAGGCGCGCGAATTAGGGAGACATTACTCCTGTCTCTTATACACATCTAGATGTGTATAAGAGACAGGAGTAATGTCTCCCTAATTCGCGCGCCTGGATTGCGCATAAAAATGGATCATTTGGGAACAGGAGATTCTTCGAGCCTCGTTTTTATAATTGTTGACAATCGGTATCTCCTAATCGTATCTCCTAATTGCATCTCCTGTTCCCAAATGATCCATTTTTATGCGCAATCCAGGCGCGCGAATTAGGGAGACATTACTCCTGTCTCTTATACACATCTAGATGTGTATAAGAGACAGGAGTAATGTCTCCCTAATTCGCGCGCCTGGATTGCGCATAAAAATGGATCATTTGGGAACAGGAGATTCTTCGAGCCTCGTTTTTATAATTGTTGACAATCGGTATCTCCTAATCGTATCTCCTAATTGCATCTCCTGTTCCCAAATGATCCATTTTTATGCGCAATCCAGGCGCGCGAATTAGGGAGACATTACTCCTGTCTCTTATACACATCTAGATGTGTATAAGAGACAGGAGTAATGTCTCCCTAATTCGCGCGCCTGGATTGCGCATAAAAATGGATCATTTGGGAACAGGAGATTCTTCGAGCCTCGTTTTTATAATTGTTGACAATCGGTATCTCCTAATCGTATCTCCTAATTGCATCTCCTGTTCCCAAATGATCCATTTTTATGCGCAATCCAGGCGCGCGAATTAGGGAGACATTACTCCTGTCTCTTATACACATCTAGATGTGTATAAGAGACAGGAGTAATGTCTCCCTAATTCGCGCGCCTGGATTGCGCATAAAAATGGATCATTTGGGAACAGGAGATTCTTCGAGCCTCGTTTTTATAATTGTTGACAATCGGTATCTCCTAATCGTATCTCCTAATTGCATCTCCTGTTCCCAAATGATCCATTTTTATGCGCAATCCAGGCGCGCGAATTAGGGAGACATTACTCTAACGCCAATTCAAAGCGGAATATATCGAAAAATTGCTCGCAGAAACTCGCAGAAACGTCTTTATAATATCAGAAATTGTAGAAGAAAAAGCAGATACCAGTCATTTTGACTTTCTTGGTAGTTTCAGCTTTCTTCGCGTTCGCTAGCAATGTCACTAGCGTACTCAAAGCTCCATTTATCGCACTCACCGTGTCAACGCCAAGTTTCTGCGTAATTCCAAAGCAGCCTAAAAAGTGCGTGAAAATATATGGAAATCAATATTTTCAAAATGATGTAAAGTGACCGGTACCCGGTTTCCATGTAAATTCCTTTCTGAGAGAAGAAGAAGAAGAAGAAGAAGCTCGGACCCGTCGCGCTCGATAGAAACTTCCGATGCTTAAAATTAGACCACCCGTGCTTGACTTAATGCATCGAAGGAGAGAACTGTCGTCGTAAAGTGTCGGTCGTTCGCAAGACGGTCCCCGGGGATCGTCGCGTTCGGAAATATTGCAGAGAGCGGCGCGGAGAATGCTCGATGTTAAAAAGCGCCCGGTAATCAATGAGAGAGAGATAAAGAGAGAAAGAGAGAGAGAGAGAGGAAGAAGAAGAAGAAGTTTGATCCTCTTTCGCGAAGGGTTTCGCGACGCCGCAACGGCGGCGGAGGAGGGATGCACAG